GGAAAATTATAAGGCCTTATAAGCATGTTTGGGAGCGTTTTTTGATCAAAAAAACATTAGTAGAAGGCAATTCATCTTAAAAAATGGTATAACATGGAAAAAAATCATGAATTATGCGCGATTATGCGCGATTATGCGCAATTTGGTAAATTATGCGGAAAGGGGGCAATTATGCGCGTCCGCATCCGCGCATAATTCCGACATGCCTGAATTGAGCTGGTAAATGCAGCAATAAATCTTACTGCAGTATGTGCATTTTAATGTGATCTTATTTACTGCCCTTTGTAATGCCTGCTTCCTTTAGGTTAGTCGATCCTCCTCCATAACTGCCTTTCTTCATCCTTTCATTACCATCACTACATCAACATCAAATAGTTAAGCGTGGATTTCACTAGCGCATAAGCATAGCATAAGCACAAGCATGAGAATCATATGCGCCAGTGAGAACGGCTGGACATAAGCATAAGACATTGAGCATGCGCACGAGTGTATTATTTCGGTACCAGACTATGCTTATGCCTATGCAGTCCCGTTCTCACTGAACATAAGCATGAGATAAGCATGAGATAGGCACAAGAAGATCAAGCCTTGCTCGTTTTTCTTGTGCTCATGCTTATGCTTATTTTGAGCCCGTTCTCACTGGGGCATATGACTCTCGTGCTTCGTGCTTATGCCTATGCTTATGCGCTAGTGAAATCCACGCTTTAACATCATTCAGGCATGTTTCATTGAATCTAATTGGGATGTCAAATAACAATAGTGATAATAATTTTATTGTTAGGACCACACCTTACACCCCATATCAACCTGAATTAGCCCAAGGAAGACTTGAGTCTTTATTGAACTTCCAAACAATGGTCAGTGACTTRACAGCCATGGACATAGCAAATTCCTCTCTMCTTGATGAGGCAACATCAGCTGCAGAAGCTCTTTCTTTGTCATACAGGTACAGTATTGTCTCCTCCACAGTTTCTTTCAGCATCTTGAAAGGTAGCCATGCCTTTACAAGCAAGACAACCATTAAGCAATCGTCTCCTTCACAGTTTCCTT